TTTAATATACATCCATCCATCCATCCATTTGTCCATTTATTTTTATATTTGTTTTCCTCCATCCAGTCCAATGTATTGCACGCATCCATCTATGGAAAATTAAGGTCTTGTTTAGCTATCAGGGAGAAATAGAATAGAGTGATTTAAAAAAATGAAGGTACAAATAAAGTGATCAAAGAAAATATGTGAGTACATTTAGAAAAAAAGAGTAATTTAATTCATGAGTTGAAAGTTATGATTTATAAAATTTTTAAAAAGTGTGATGATATTTACATTTGTAATATGTATTAATAAGTTTTATCATATTTAACATGAAGAAAAAAGGTGATTTAGCTCATTTGTATCTTAATTTTTTTAATCCATTCTATTTATTTTTAGCAATCAATGGGATTTAAGTTTCATGGTTTATTTTTATTTGGATTTACACTTAATTATCATGTCCCTTTACTTATTGCATTATATTTAAGTCATGTAGTTTTAAAGGGTTTATATTTAAGTCGTGATTTAATAGCAAGGAAAAAGTGCCGGGCAATTTTATTTGCTCAAATAGGATTTATAGTTCTTCCTGCCTTTAAAATTGTTTCGCACATTTTTCACGTAGATAAACAAATATTAATTCATCAAAAAGGAATAAAAGAAAAAAAAAAATACTAGATTGCTTCGTATTGGTTGTAAGGATAATATATTCTTTAATGCTTAATTTTTATTTCAATTATTGATTTAATCTTTCAATTTTATTTAATACAACCCAATCCTTACAATATATTGAGTTGTTCATAATTTATAAAAATTGAGTTGCATGGAGTAAATAAATTAGAAGGATAAAATTGTTTCAATTTAAAAATTCATATAAATTAAATTGGTGTAAATCAAAATTTGAAATTAAATCACTAACTCAGAAACAATTCAATGACCAAATGTTATATTTTCTCATATTACAAGCGCACCTTTTTTCATTCATTTTAAACTTTTTATGTTTTGGATAGTCTCGCAAGTCATGTCATGGTAGCTCAATTAAAAAACCTATTGAAATTATAGAAATAAAAATAAATATTATTCATTCATTAAAAAATATAAGATATTATTATTATATATAATTAATGACTTTTTTTCTTAAGCCACTCAACATTTTACATTCAAGTGAGATAGACAAGCATGGAATGTGTTAATTTTAAAACAATTAATTAATTTGTTGGAGGTGCAATTCATCTAAAAAGCCTCGCATATTGTTTGATGAAAGGAGCATTAAATACTTTTTTATGTTTTATTAGAAGACATATTCTAAAAGAATTATTTAATTATTAATATAAAATATTTAATGTGATATTGATTATATTTTTAATATTATCCCTTTAAAATTATTCATTGTGAGAGATAATGTAATGTAATGCAAATTTAACTTTTTTCATTAAAAAAAATAAAATTGTGTATTTATTTTTAAATAAAATTAATAATTTAAATATTTTTAAAATTTTTAATAAAATAATTAAAAATATTTTATGATAGAAATAAACAAGAGGAGTAATTAATACAACCTTTTACAAGGGAAAAACAAAAATAAAAATAAAAAGCGAGAGGAGGGATGATCAGTGTGGACAGGTGTGCGAATCTGATTCAGTCTCACTTAAGGTTCGCACTCCCAGATCCAGCACCCCCTTGTGATAAGATAGGTACTACGTTTGTGATTGTGGTCCAGGAATTCTCCTCCCGCCACGTGTCTCCCGTAAGTTCTCGTGTCCCTCTCCCGCTCCCCAAACTTCTTTTTATTTACCCCTTCGACCCTGCGGTTACCTGCTAGCTGCTGCTGGGCTTGCTAGTTCCTTTTCTTTTCTTTTCTTTATTTTTAAGTAAAAGGCGAAAGAATAGCTCGCTGGGCCTGGGTGCTCGCCACGCACGTTTTGAATTTATTTTACTATTAAAATTTACAAATTTAACTCATAAATAACATTAGATGGAGTACACTCTTTCCGGACTCATTTATAAAATATATTTTAAAAAATTATTTAATTTTATTTATAAATCACTTTTAATATATTTTACTAGTATCAAGAAAAATATTAAAATTCATTAAATTTGTTTTAAAATTTAATAAATTCTCAACTTTATCCCTATTAAATATATGTATTTCAATAACAATTTTCTTCTCTAGTATTCGATGGAGGATAAAAGAAAAAATTTATGATAAAAATTTAATAATGTGACTTATAAATAGGATAAAAAAATTCTTCTCTCTCTGCTTTATAAATAAGATTATAAAGAGTATTAGTTATGGTGTGACTTTTTAGGTAATATTTAAAAGTATTTTTAAAAATCACCCTTCATAAAAGAGAAAAAATAACATGACATCATTTTTTAAATTTGTTATATAAGATTATATTTAAAATTTTACATACTTTTATTCTTTTTTTTATTGTGATATTGATGAAATTGATAGAAATAATTTACAAAAAAAATTAGAGAAATACACATAAACCTCTCAAGTGCCTGAGTACACTTCCAATCATCCCTTCAAAATTTAAAAAATAGTTAATACAGTTAGATTAATTTTTTTTTGTAGAATATTTCCCTTAATTAACAGGATGGCTATATCATGAATAATGTAGAGTAATTGTTAGGGTATTATTAGAAGAAGAATTTAATGTTTCAAACATTTAAATGGATTACTTATACATGAGGCTATATTCTTATCTATTTTTTTTCCCCTCATGCCTTATTCTTTCCAATCTTATTTACTAGGCGCCTGGATCAGAAATTTTGTGACCCCTTTCATAAGATGCCGCATTGATTATTCATTAAACTCTTCCTCTTTATCCCTGTTCAATGTTAGTGTACGAAAGTAGAATTTTTTTTTTTTTTGGTAATTAATATGGACAGAATATGAATCAACCAAAAATAATAAATAGCTTAATATAAAGTAATAAATGACATATGATAGGAAAAATAACAACTAGTGTTTGCATTATCCATGTATGTTCTGCAAAAAAAGTTAATTTTTTTTAACACTTTAATTTTACTTTAACGTCTTCTAGTGAAGATTCAAAGTTTTGCAATTTTTTTTTATTGACTAGGAAAGGAAGGGGTGGGGGGAGAGAGGGGCGAAGGTTCTTACTTCCTATTATGGGCCTCTGCAACAAAGTCAACATTACGTGAATAGAAAATGATCCAAGATGCTGACTACTCTTGTTTTGTTTTTTTAATTGTCCGAAGAGATATTTACAAATAAAACACTACAAATAAATGTGTGTGTGTGTGTGTGGGCCTTTCATCGATGGATCATTTTTTTTTTTAATATTATCACTTGGATTAACCTAACTAAGGGAGGCAAAACACTTTTACAGTTCCCAATTTGAAATTAATATAATTTAATCCCCTGACGTCTTTCAAAATTCACGGTCCTAATTATCACAACTTTATGGAGAACTTTGCCATTTGGGAATCTCGGATTCCCTGTCATTCATTTCAGTAGGTGTGATGTATCGAACTTTATTCTCACAACCAACTTAAAATATCTTCATATCTTCATCCTTCCCACTTCATACTGGTTCATACACACATTCATCAATTATGAAGTATAACAAGCCAAACCCTTTTTTTTTTTTTTTTAATACAACAAGAGATAAAAAGTGTAGAAGAAGATATATAGTGAGAATCAATCCATTTTAGTGGGTTCATTGATAAGGCCATATCCCATAATAGATAAACATTCTGCAAGAGGTACCACAACAACACTTGTCCAGGGATAGAGAAATGTGAATTACGTGCAAGCTTTATCAACAAGGTCATAAATGACCTTTCAGTTTCGATTAATCACCACTCTCATGTCTTTTGTGATATCATGTGTAGGGGTATGAGCTTTGATAAATCTTTTAAACGTCGTTAATCACTTTCGTTAAATCCACGAATAACTTAACTTTTTCTTAATCCAGAGTTTTAATATTATCTGATACTCAATTTTTCAATAATTCTACTATGAAAGTATCCCAATTTATCATAAAGCCTCCTCTCCAATTGCTGTGCTCATTCTGTAAAGGTTCGTCACAAGAGGTCTTTCTTTTGTGATCAACCGATTTATCAACATCGCCCGACCTAAGTCCAGACAAGCAAAACATTTGAAACTAGTAGAATAGCAAGCATTTACAGTGGGTTGAGTTTTCCTCCTGGTGAATCTCTCTTGATCACTCACGCAGGCAGGTGAGTTTGAAAAAGTAATATAGAAAAGTGTAAAAAGAAATAAAAACTTGTCAATGTAATTGCAGGTTGAAGACCAAGAGAAAAGCACGAGGAGACAAGTCAGATTTCTAGTACGCATCTTGACATAAGATAACTTTGTTAATATTAATGGAAAAAAACGTTTTTGAAAAAATTACTCTTAATTAAACTTGATAATCCATAAATAGGATTCAGTTATGGAAAAAAAGGCATTAGATGTTGGAAAAAGCATTGTTGTTTTTGGAGGATTAAAAAAGGAAGGGAAAAGAGGAATTGAAAAAGTAAGATTTCACTTCAAAGGGACTAAAAGGTGGCTTCCCAGAAAGGTTGAGCCTTAATTCAATACTTGTGCCAATCCCTGCCATCCACCTAGCCCTCTACCTACCTATAGTCTCCCAATTTTGTTCCAATTCCATTTAATTTCGACATCTTTGCTTCCCCAATATTAAACTGAATCCCCACAAACAAATCTCCTTACTTAATTCTCCTTCAAGATTCAAGTAAAGTTTAATGCTGGAAACAGAGCCATTTATTTATTACGCTATTCTCCAACAGTATTGTGTCGACGAAGAACAGGATTAAACATTATAAGAGGCAAAGAAAAAGATTATTATAATCATTAATGTCACGTAGCTGCTCCCCACATCATTGATCAATCTTTGTCTTATTTTGCCCAAAAATCTCCAATAAGCTCGCACCTCAAATCTCACCACGCTATCATCAATCCCACCGTTCGATCCTTCTCTCACCCTCCCTCGATTTTTGCGTCCAAAGTCTTCTTCGTTTCCTTTAAAAAGTGTTTTTCCATTCATCTTCTTCTCCCCCCCCTCTCTCACTGTGATTTCTCTCTCCACCGGCCCGACGACCCGGCGACTGCTTTTCTTTCGTCTTCATTCACCAACTCTTTATTTCTTGACGCCAAAAGTTCTTGACTTTCTATTTGTGTTCCTGTGTGCTGATTGATGAAAGAAAAACACATCAAAATGCGAGTGTGAAGTCAAAGGCAGAGGATAAGAGCTGATGATAAATGGCTTTTCACGACCATCTACCTCAAGAACTGGCTTTTCAGCCTTTCACGGACGAGCAACAGTTAAGTCAAAACAGGGACATGCAGAGGATGATGCCGTTCTCAGCCGCCGCTGCAGGGGGAGGACCGGCCCCGACATGGCTGGTGAATAGCGCTGGATCTCTCCGGCAGCAGAATTTCCTCCACTTGCAGCCCGACTCGGCCGATGATGTTCGGGGGAGTATGATGACGTCGGACAGGAGCAACGATCGCGAGGGCGGCGATCGGAGCCGGGCCGACGGCAATTGTGAATCTGAGGATTTGGCAGAATACAAAGCTGACATTTTGGGACATCCCCTTTACGACCAGCTCTTGTCGGCTCATGTGTCGTGTTTAAGGATTGCCACTCCGGTGGACCAGCTTCCTAGGATCGACGCTCAGCTTCAACAGTCACAGCGCGTGCTTGAAAAATACTCTGGTCTCGGAAATGGGGTCGTCGACGAGAAGGAGCTTGACCAGTTCATGGTTCGTCTCTCCCCCCCCCCCCGGCTTTCTCCCCCTCTCTATTCGCTACCTCGTTTTCTTCATCCATAACATGGAGGTGAAGAAATTAAGGATGCTTGTGTGTTGTGTGATATCTTATTTTTATCCGCACATTTCTTTTTGGGGTTTTGGGCATATCCATGATTGAGTTGATTGATCGACGAAACATTGTTTCTTATTAAGCTTCTTTTCCTGTTTGCTTATTCATCTAAATTTCTTAGCAAAAGAAGTTGATATGAATAAAAAGGGCAAGTGTTTGTCCTTGTTATTTTGAACTTGGCGGTGGTGATTAACAAGCGTATCTGATACATCAAATTCAACATTGATATTAAACATCTTTGTTTTGGCGTGGTTTGTTGAATTTTTCTGTTCATGTTTGTCATCATCGTCGCACTTGTTCTTCAGTTCTTCAATTCTTGAAGAACAAGTTCTGGAATGAAGAATCACAGACCACTAATTTGGAGTGCTCTCTCTCTCTCTCTCTGTATATCTATTTCACAGACACCAAAATTTTCCTAGACTCTTTCCCTCTGAAATGTACGTTTCTTTCAGCCATGCCCAAAGCACAATAATGAGGGTATGGGACCTTTAGTGATTCTGTACCGACTGTGAACTGTTCACAGTATCTGTCCTGCTCCTGCAGTGAGTGGCAAATAGGGAATCTACTCGTCAGCCTAAATGACCCTATCCTTAGCTACCCTCGTGATCAAATGCACAAAATAATAATATATATTTTCAAATTAATTCTCAGATTTGGAACTTTATACGCTCCTGCAGGCTACAGACATTGATGATCAGAGAATGAGAAAGTGTGAAGCATTTTTAACGAAGTTGATTAAACTCTCGTCGTTATTATTATTGAGGGTGATGAAAAGTGATTTGGCTGCTGCTTCTTTCTTTTAGCTTTTGACTGTTGCATGCGTTAGCTAGCTAGGTTGTGCATTTATTGAAGTTTGCTACATTGGGATCACAAATCCTCGGGTTTCTCAGATGTCTTAACTGCTTTTGAAGATGAGAACCTGTTCCCTTTTGCTTTCCCAGCCGCTTTAAGCCTTTTATCTTTTATTGAACAGACGCATTATGTTCTATTGCTCTGTGCTTTCAAAGAACAACTGCAACAACATGTCCGAGTTCATGCCATGGAAGCAGTGATGGCTTGTTGGGAGCTTGAGCAGTCTCTTCAGAGCTTGACTGGTAATTTCTCACTATCATCCCATTCCCTAGAATATCACTTTTCCTAGCAGTAAATTTCGTAAGTACTAAAACTCAATCCATTAGCTGGTCAAACTAGTGAACCGGTGAATCAGACCCCTTACTGGTCTGGTCAGGAGTCAGTTTTAAAGCAACATCGTTTTGAGTTTAAAAAACGATCATGATGTGGTATTTAAACTGGGTTGTGATTCATTTAAATTGAATTGCTTGGGTGGATATCACAAAAGATTAGCTCTGAAACCCAACTCATTATGCTTGAACATAAAATATAACTATTTTAATGATCATATTGTATTGAGAATATTTGAGTAATTTAAACTTTTAAAATATTATATAAATTTTCTGTTAATCTCAATTCACTGAAGGCAGCATCTACCCCATGTCTTTCCCATCGTGTGTTTATTTACTCGTTAGATTTTAATTTAAAAGAAGTTAATGTAACTTTATATCTCTCTCTATATATAGCTCATTTCTCAAAACTCATCCTTTTATAATAATCTTTCTAAACCAGGCCTTGGATGGAAGCTACATTATTATGACACCTACACACACACACATGTGCTGGTGTAGAATTCGTATGCCTGAAGAGAATTAGCTTTTGATGATTATACATCCTTGTCTGTTTCCATATAAACTACCTTCTCTCTTTAGCCTTGTGCTCTTTGAATTCCTCATCATCCAACTTAACGTAAACTCAATGAGAAGATTGACTCTCTTTCTGTTTAACTAGAGTCCTTGACGTGCTCGAAAGATGTCATGAACAAATTAAATTTTAACTATTACATGCACTGGTGGCATCATAAGTGTGATAGTTTAAAGCTTTTTATCATACTCTCTTGTAGTGAACTTTGGTGGTTGTAAATGCGAGATCCAAGTGTTAGATTTTGAGGATTAAACCCTAACTGTGGCATGGACGTGCTTGTATATGGCGCATGAAACAGGTGTGTCTCCGGGAGAAGGGACAGGAGCAACAATGTCGGACGATGAAGATGAGCAGGTTGAGAGTAATGCTAACCTTTACGAAGGTGGTCTTGATGGAGCTGACAGCCTCGGATTTGGTCCTCTTGTTCCCACTGAAACTGAAAGATCTTTGATGGAGCGTGTGAGACTGGAGTTGAAGCATGAATTAAAGCAGGTAATACAAAATCAAAATCTCTCATTAACATCAATCAACATCATAGTACTGATTCTATCTCTAAAAGACAGACATAACAAGCCAAACTGTTGGTTGTGAGAATTTTTCTTCACATGCTGCTTCGCCTTTGTTAGGGTTACAAGGAGAAGATTGTGGACATACGTGAGGAGATTCTGAGAAAGAGGCGTGCCGGGAAGCTGCCCGGGGACACAACCTCGCTTTTGAAAGCTTGGTGGCAATCACATTCCAAATGGCCTTATCCTACTGTAAGAAGCTTTCAGCTTTCACATGATGTGTGTGTGTGTGTGTGTGTGTGTGTATTAGTAATGAGTTTCTGGTAATGGCTTGATCATGCTGTGTATATATAGGAGGAAGACAAAGCAAGGTTGGTTCAAGAAACAGGCTTGCAATTAAAGCAAATAAATAACTGGTTTATTAATCAAAGGAAAAGGAACTGGCACACTAATCCCTCATCATCTAGCTCCTCTAAAAGCAAGCGCAAGAGGTAAAACTTACTTTCAGAAGTTTCCTATGTGATGAGATTGTTGTGTTAACAAGTTTTCTGATTTCCTAAGATGGTGTTTTCGTAATATAGTGACTTGACGACACTTGTGGGAAGTATGTGTTGACTGTGTTGTTTGGATCGTAGTAATGCAGGAGAAACCAGTAACCAGAGCTTCATGTGAAGGAATGAAAATATTTTGAAGATATATAATTGTTCGTTAGGATTGATGGGATGCGTTTGAGATGGAGTAGTCAGCAAGAACCTGAGACGATGAAGATATGATTCTGGGAATGAAGGGGAATTCAATGATAAAATATTATATTTAACCCAAAATCTAATACTATTTACAGAAAGCATCAGTGATTGTTGTATATGAGGCTGCTACTCGATACCTGATATAATATGGTACAAGCTTGCACATCCTATTCCATTCGATGGGTATCTTTGGAGAAGCATGCTGATACCTGCATGTTGTTTTTACTGTGTTACACACGAAATTTGGGGTAAAAAAGAAACTTTTTCGCTGCAATTTACGCCTATGTGTGTGTAATTTTTTTTTTTAAAATCAGAAGGTCTATTTAACTTTGGTGCTGATAATGAAAATAAATGAGCGATTTTTTTTCTTCTCCAAAGGTGTTTCCGTTTTGTGCTACAGGCTTGTCTATGCAACGGTTCTTGCTAAGCCATCCAATTAATTAGTTGTTGTGATGCTTAAAACGAAGCGTGTAATCTTCCGTAAAATAGGTAAATCATTTCATGCTGTTCCCGTGGCTTTCTCTTCATCTGAATTCATGACTCAAATCATTATAATAAGTATATAATTATCAGCGTGGGCTTAAACAATTAGTTAATTGTATGAATCGTTCAAAGCAATGTTGTGAAATCCGAACCAAACAGTCTAACCATCTCCAGCTGACTAAAATGGTTTTGGTTCAATAAAATTGCCTTTGGACTGGATTGATTTTGATTAAATTGGGCAGTTTTTATGGAATCAAATTTAACCTGAAATCAAGAGGAGTCAACTTGGGTCAGAGCAAAACAAAAACAAAAAAAAAAAATTTAGCCTGAGTCACTTAAATTTATGATTTTTCTTTTTTAATTTTTAATTTTTTTTGTCTTCTCTACTCTCTTCTCTAATCTCTTATTTATGGCCCATGTTCAATTTTTGTCGTCTTTTCTAACTTTTGCCTCCAACTTTAGCTATTTAACTTTTGACATTGAGATCGAAAGCTCATCAGTCGTGATATGACAATGTACTTCTAACTGCTTTTCTTTTCAGATTGTGAGATTGTGCTGACATGTCTTTGCCTCCAACTCTAGCAATCCAAGCATTTAGCTTTCGACGTCGAGATTTTAAACACTATCGACAAATTAATATTTTATTTATAAATTTGTGTATATAAATATTCTTTTTTATTAAATTTTTATCTCACCAGTTAGACCAATTGAATTATGAAAATCATGATCCCATTGCTTTTTTCAGTTCAACATTAAGTTTGAGTTTCAAAACATTGATTCAAAGAGCTAGTTAGATTTTCACCTTTTGCAGTATTGCTCCCAAAAATGCGTTACACAAATTAGCAGTCTCTTTTTGTATAATGAGCCATAAAAAATCATTACAATATTAGAATTGCATGTTTTTGTAGAGTATTTTATAACGAGGAGTACTTTTTTTGTCATAGTTTCTCTGTTTTGTTTTTTCAACCTTGAACTTGAAGATTCTGTGAACGAGACAAATTTTAAGGATTAACTTGCAAGTCATGCTGGGTAGATTTGGAAGAGAAGGAATTAAGAAGTTTAATTTGCTTTGTTTTCGTTAGAGTAAAAGAATATTGTCATATAATAATGATGCAATTTGTAAAGACTTTCCTAGAGATCTCTTGTTTCAAGCAAAGCCAGCTCCGGTTTGAATTTTCTTCTTGATTTCAAGTTTGAATTCGTTTTTCTTCTCGAATCCCCGAAAACCTTCCAAATTCTGACTGAGGTATGCTTTTTGATTTTTTAATTCTATATAAAATTTCATTTCATTTTTTTATTTTATAAAATATATTTTTAATTCTTTAATCTTAACATTGTTATTTTTACTATAAAAAAATTTTAATATTAAATTTTTAAATTTTAAAAAATAATTTTAAATATTGACTTATTAAATTGATTTTTCAAATAACAATGATTGAAAAAAAATTATTAGTAACTAATAGTATCAGAAATTAGGATTAAAGTACTAAAAATACATTTAAAAAAAATTAAAGGATCAACTTAAAATCTTGCACAAAGTTGGAAAATCAAAAGTATTATTTATTCCCAAATTCTTGATGGCTTTTCTCACTATATACATAATTCCTCTCTTTTCTTTAATTAATTGCCAAGTCAGAATTTTTTTAAAAAAATTGATTAAGATGATCTCTCTCCAAACTACAATATAAAACATCTTCTTAATGCCTTGCTTAGTTTAAAATATAAGATTTTGAGTACTCCCTTCATTCAAAAATATAAGGTATTTTTAGTTTTTTGAAGTGTAATTATTATTTTTTTTAAAAATGCCCCTATTAATGAATGACTTTATATTTATTGTAGGGTATTTAATAAGAATAAATAAAAAGATAGTTTTAATTTGAAAGTAGGTAACTACTCAATTGAGGGATGAGATTTGATAAAAAATATCTTACATTTTTTAATGAAGGGAATGACTTTTATAATAAAATTTTCAATTACGCCCCTATTTTATTTATTATTCTTTTTTTAAAAAATACCTTTAAAATTTTGATTATTATTATTTGTAAGATATTTAATAAAAGTATAATTAAAAAATATAATTTTTTTAAAATATTTAGATTTTAAATAACATTTTATTAAAAACTGCGAACTAGTTAATAATAAAGAATATAACAAGAATATACCTGCAACAATGGTTGAATACAACGCAACCACTACGTGCTAACTGCCCAACATAAATAAATATTACACTTGTAAAATATTTAATTATATTATATTAAATTAATAAGCATACTCTTACTTGATCCTCTTTATAAGTCATTTTTATTAATTTTATCAATGTCAATATAAAAATAATAAAAAATTAAAAATATATAAAATTTTAATTATACCTCTACTTTTTAAATATTATTTAAAAATTTGAATTATAATTTATAAATAATATTAAATAAATATTTTAAAATGAGATTAAAATGTACTATATAATTAGGACAAATGTTTTTGAACAACGACGTCGCGCTTCCCTAAGGATTGACTTCATCAAGCTCGTAACCTCTGCAACCTAACAACTCAATCTCTCTCTTGCAGAAGCTCATCGGTATGGCGAAAAGCTGAAGACTTTGTACATTAAACAATGAATGTATTTTTAAACAAAAACGATATATAAGACAATAGATTAAGTCGGAGACAATAAATATATGATTAATGAATATGAAAATCACAGAGAAGCAACGTAATCACGAGGATTCAGGTTGGCGACGAGGAAGGGTGAACCTGGCAGAGAAACTAGGAGGCATATCTGGATCATCGTCACTATTGTTAAAGTTGAGATCATAACTATGTTGATCATAATGAAACCTGTTGTTCTGTTTCCTGCCATTACAGTACGCACTTATCTTCCTTATGAACGTCTTCCACTTGGGCCCTGCGATTACTTCTGAGAATTCCTTCACCTTCGTAAAATTCTCAGCCACCCAAGACTCACGCTCTCCTCCTCCGCCACCGCCGCCGGAGCTTCCCCTCCTTCGTCGGAATCGGAACACCCGAAAGCATCCGCCGCACCAGGAGGAAGTGTCGTCGAGTTCGTGGAGATGTTGGTCGACGTCGTCGTCGTCGTCGAAGTGGTGTTGGACGAGGGGCCTTCCTTCGGGAGAAGCCATGGAATTGTAGGAGACGACTGGTTTTTGTGTGGATATTTATACAAAAGAGAAGGGATACATTTCTGGGATGTAAATGATTAATATAAAAGACGGGGAAGGAGTTAGGAAGTTGGATTGGTTGAAACGAGGAAATATATCAGAAGCTTTGCAATGCGGAGATGCGTAGAGAGATGTTGTTTTCAGACGGCACTACTTGCTGAAGAAGAAAGTTCCTCCTTCAAACTTATCGTCGTACGCGACTTCCACACACTTGTATAAATATAATATAATTTAATTTAATGGTATGTACACGTATCAGTATATATTCATCTGATAATATTTAGCCATCATTGTCTCATGTCTTTGGCGAATCGAATCGGCCTATCATTCTTGACCTCTACATGTAATTTTTAAACTCTCCCCAATCTTTTCCCTCTATTTATTTGTTTATTTTTTGTGGCTGGCCTGCCTAATTTTTTCTTCCCAACTAAATTATATAAAATGTCTATAGATTTTCATTTTAGACATGAAGATTTAACGCAAAGGCTGATGCAGCTTGTGTGAAATTACATTTTCAACTCAGTTCTTTTTAAATTTAAAAAATGTATAAATATTTTAAAGAATCAGATTTATTTTTGAGGCACGATAAAAAAAAATTGACTTTTTAGCCGAAGAAGCTTGGACCGATTTTTAAGAACACAACTTGCATATCATATGAGCATTAGTTTAAGACTTTAAGCTTCACGGCCATTGTAAGAATTTCATCTAGATTTGTATAGTAGCTGAGCCGGCTCAAGTGGCTCACCGAGTGAGACGACCCAGTTGAGATTTGTTCGGACACGGTGACTTAATGGTGGGGAACAAACTCCCCATGCCCTATTTGGTATGCCTTGCCTGCAAGCAAGACTTTGGTCAAACCATTTCTCATTAAAATCAGATTCCATTTGTTTTAGATCCGAGACTCAAACACTTGACGTGTTGAAATTTGAAACCAAGACTAGCTCAAAGTACGTAGATTCATTCCAAATGTCCCTCCTTCTCTCTATTTCCAAGAATTATCGAGAAATAGGGGCCAAATTTGTTCTCGCTAAGGGTTGCTGCCATGAATGATATTGACGATAGTAATGTGGCTTCAAGTGGACATATATATTTGTTTGGTTCTATTAGTAAAACATACTCACAATCCTCAGTGAGTTTGAATTCTTTTTTTTTTTTTTTAAACAGGAAAAGCTTTAAAAGCTTCTTAATCTGAAACTCACAAAGAACTTCCAGAGACGAGAAGAATATAGCAAACCGGAACCAGCTATCACCATACACAGCATATAATAAATCCACAAGATAAGATTATTAACAAGACAGTCCAAAACACAAAAAAACAAAAATCTGTTACTGATATAAAAAACTTGTTAGTAATTAATCCAGCCATGCGCCTATTGATGTCTTGGTTTTGAAGTTTGACTATATTCAATTTCTTTTACTGGTTATACATGTCATTTTATTAGAGGTAATTTTGTTAGAGATGCAAGTGGACATTAAATGTAAAAACCTTTATTAATGGAGATTTGAATCTTCGTTCATCATATCATGAGAAATTAGTTCGTTTCATTAGACTTGATTCCTGATGGTTAACGATAGTGATAACATTAACATCAAGAAGATTTTTTGCACGAAAAACGTGAGCCCATTTAAAAAAAAGGCATAGCCTAAAATGGACTTTTATTAGTTAACCCAACTGCCAAGCCTTTCATTGACTCCAAAACAAAACGATCCAATTGGGCGAAATCCGACGTAACTGGGCTAAGTCAATCTTGTCATGTCATCTGAAGAGGCCTTTTTGAGGGATTTAACTTGGCCTGGGAATGGAACTGCACAATATTTTTCTGAAACGCATATTATTTAATTGCATGAACTATTCAGCATCACGCAACCGTGTGACGTTATACCTGCACAAAATCATACGGAAGCAAAAAGGGACGAAGCATAAACCAAAAAAAAAAAGTTATTCCAGCACCGTCGTAAGCAGAAGCTCCGGCAGCCTCCGCTGCCAACCTCACGCTAATTTTTCATACGCACCACCGACACATTCTAAATCAACTAACTGCCGCGACTTCCCTGGACCTGGAAGAATCCGATGAAATCCTTGTAGACAACGGCGACGCAGGCAACCTCGCCACGAAATCACGCCTTGTTACGTCACCGACGTACCTCTCGTCGTTACTGTCGGCATGGTCTTCAAAATTCATCGCGTAGCTGAGAGCGTCGTAATGGAAATCGGCGGACTGGCGGCGACCTTGGCGGGATCCGATCCGCGAGATGAAGTCGCTGCACTTGCCCTTGAAGTGCGATGAGTTCCGATACGTCCTGGACTTGGCGGCAGTGTGGTGGTGGAAGCAGCAATGCGGCAAGCAAGAGGAGGACCTGGCTTTGTCCTTTCGAGAGAGAGGCGAGAGACCGTGGTCGCGATCCGCCATGAATGCGAATAGCAAGAAGCTTAGGAAGCAATCCACACACACAGAGAATAATAAGAAATAACAGAAAAAGAACGCGAAGATTGCGCGATGGGTTCACGATGAAGAACGGCCCAAATTGCATCAGAACCAGCGGTTTCTCTTGTTCCACAATAAAAGGAGACACTGTCTATTTCTGATTTTCTGTAACTCTACTTGTTTACCGTTTCCTCAGTCTGCACCATCCATCTGCTGCGTTGAATTTTGTTTTGTTTTTTTTTTCCTGAAAAAAATATTATTCATTAAGTGCTAATTTTAAATTTTAACCAGTAAATTCACAGTTTAATTTTTTCTTAGTTAATTTATAAAATATTTTTTATTTATATTAATACATAGAATTTCTAAAAAAAATTCCTCTGTGGTGCACTGGTGGGTTTCAATTTTATGGGAAATTTTTTTATTAAAAGAGATATTTTTAATTAGGTTAGGTAAACATAATTGTAAAGACCCATGGACAAAATAAGTTTTGAGATGCATTTACAAAAATGCCATTATTTAAAAAAAAAGAAAACGGTTTCCTTCCCTCCCACGCCTTTCTCTCACCCACTCTCTCTTCGTTGTCAAGCCCAGACCGGTAAACTCCCTCAGTTTCAGAAGTGAGGTTTTTCCACTTCTTTTTTTTTATTTTTTTTTACTTTTTTCATCTCCATCATTCAAATTTTTTTATTAAATAATTTTTTTAAATAATAAAATTAATGAGTGGTGAGAATGAGAGAAGTGAAGTAAAAAGAAAGAAAAAAATGAAGAGACCCTGATCCCTCAACTTCACCAATGGCCGTGATTGCCTGAAAGAAGTGAGGTTTCCAAACGACACCGATGCCTGCGTTTCACTCCGTCTTCCTCGTCGCCATCCACAAGGGATCCCATCGGATTCGGAGGTGTCCTCATGGTCTAAGAGGGAGGAGCACCGGCGCCATAAATATCTCACTTTCAGGCTTGTTGAGGCTGTAAAGCACCGGCGTCGAATTGGGAACGTAGGAGTCCCACGTCCCACCATACTCTAAGGTGTTTTTTTTTTTTTTTAAATAAAAGTATTTTTATAAATGCATATTAAAATTTATTTATCACGCGACTTCTTTATAATTAGAATCTAGATATGATCAGATGTGAAACCTCAGTGTGATTTTCTCTAGGTAAAATTTGATACGGAAAAATGGTCACATCATTCATCATATATGGATCCAATGACTTTGAGCCATGATTGACATAGGATTGTCCATTTGCCTGATGACAACATAGTATCACTCTCCAGAAATCAAAAAGTTGCCGCTTCTTCAATAATGCAAAACTAGTTTTGTCTCATTCTCCAATCTCCATTCATCTCTGTTTTCACGCACATCATCACACAAACAACTAGTGGAGCCTTCTAACCAGCAGTGATAATAATTTTTATTTATTGATTATAATTATTATTCCCTTTTTTTGGGGGGATCAATTATTATTTCTCAACTGTAATTTTTCGAATGCAAGTATTAGGAATATAGCATCTTATATTATAAGACCTACACCGGGAAAATGGCCAAACATGTGTCAAATACTACGCATTAACTGATTTAAATTTAAATGGGGTTATATCCTAATTAAAAAGCATTTTTTTATAAAAATAGTGTACACGGATTATATCCTAAAGCTTATGTGAGTCAAGACATACTTCAAGGTTACAAAAATATTTATAAATTATTCATTAATAAGATTATTGTAGTATAATTATACAATATAAGTAAAAAGTGCTTTTTTAAAAATGTATTTATTTCATTTTACAAAAATGTGTTTTTTTTTCATATACTGGACATGTAGTTAGAACTCACGTCTTTTCAACATACGAGTTGCATTTATGTGAACTAGATCAACTTTTAACATAGTTCTTTTTGAATTGAAATACTTGAATTAAATTCGTGGCTGTTTTTTTTTTTTTTACAGGACATTGATTTACTAAGATTCAACTCATTAAAAAAATGAAGGTACCAAATATTTGGGACAATTGTGAGGCGACATGTGGTTTCAAAGTCAATTTCTTTCCCAAACACCTTTGTCTCTCCGTCATATCTGCACTTTGCACCCACCTCTCTTCCGTCTTCAGTTATCTGTTGCCCTCACTGTCCCCATTTCATTTCTTCACTTTCCTTTCATCCCCTTACCACCATTTTTATTCCCAAATCGTGTTCTAAACATGTTCAGCAATGTTATTAAGATGTTCACTATTTCTTAGCTTTGGGCGGATGGCCTACTCGTGACTTGCACCGACCCTTCCTTCTTTCGATTTCTCTGAGAGTTTTCTTCCTTTTCTGCAAAACCACACGTTTCCAAGAAAAAAACAGAGAGACCCAGAGAGAGAGAGAGGCAGACATACTCGAAGCTTAAACATGGTGGTGGAAATTTCTGTCAATCCCAAGGGCCCATCTTTGTCCTTTCCCTTTTGTAATCATTAATTCACTTGACAGACGAAAGTAAATCATATTTCCATCACTTTACTCTACAAGCTGTGACCTGTCTGGAGAACAGAGTTGTTTATTCTGGTGTTTGGTTTCCCAGAAATCTCAGGGATGGCCGGAAATCTTCCCGGAGTTGAGTGTGCTCGAAGGAGAAGGTTTCATCAGAGTGGAGTGTGGTCCGATACACCCTCCTTTATGCCTCCTCATACTTCAACTCGACGCTCTTCTTTCTGCTTGTACACTAGCAACCATGAATCTCTTTCTTCTTCATCTTTGCTGGTACCTCTCTCTCCCTCTCCCCTCCCTCTCCGTGATTGTTGCCGGGGGAGCATTAGTTTTATTTTCTCTGTTTTTTAATGTAAGCAGCAAAGAAGCCTGACGTACCAGGCATACCCACATGAAATGCTGGAAGGTGCAGCCGGAGAAGCCAAACAGAGACTGGATGCAAGATTAGGAACACAGAGGAAAACAGAAATCAAAAGGTATCGTGACCAAAATTCTGCAGAAACTCTGTTTTCGTTCATCCTAATTTAACTATACCAAAGGTACTAAAATGATGCATCATTCAAAAATGGAGTAAAACATCACATGTTTCTCAGTTATCATCAGCATCCATATCACTACTTTCTTGAAACTCAAATCCTAAAAGAAGTGATGTGATGAGCAGGGAGAAGGTGAGAAGTGAAGCAGAGTTGCAGAAAGAGGTATATGGGGCAAAGAAAAATGGGAGCAGGAGATTCAGTTGGAGCAAACTGAGGTGGAAGGCATCAGAACAAGAGGATTGTGCAGTGTGCTTGGAATCATTCAAGAATGGTGACACACTCTCAAACCTGCCATGTGCACACAGGTTCCATTCGAGGTGTTTGGAGCCATGGCTAGAAAATAATTCTCACTGTCCTTGTTGCAGAACCACTATCATCGTTTCTCACTAGGGTTTTTCCTCTTTTCATCACTTTGTCTATGTCTATATGTGCAACGTTCTGGGAATTGTTCACTTTGTTGAATCAATGTCAGCAAATTTTTAGGGCTCTGTTTCTTTGGATTCGAGTGTGTTTAATTTTTAATCAAGTCAGAGCCTTGCAAGTTAGACTGCATCTTGCCAGGCAACATTCAGAGGTCATTATCTTTGTGGATTTTTTCCCCTTAAACATTGGTAATGGTGGATAGGTTAAACATGAAGAGTTTGAGGTTTCAGAAGCAAAGGTTGAATCTTTGTTTATGCAAAAAAATAATGTTGAGAGAATTTATGAAGTCTTGGTTTCGAGCTCGGGTAGATGTATAAAAGGTTATTGAAAGAAATAGTACTAGTTAGATTCAACAATACTTGATTTTTTTTGGTCACCAACAATATTTGAATTTAATTCAAATGTTAGATAACTTTTTATTTCATCTGCTGTATGTTATTTTAATTGTTCTAACATAAATGTTTGAAATTTTATTTATTATTATTGATCTTGTAATCTGGTTTGATTAATTAGTATCTGTGCACCACACGGGACTTGAGTCTAGTTGTCCATATTTAAGTTCAATATTTATTGGACTAAAGTGTTTTTATATGAGAAGTAATCATATTTGAGACATGGTTATGTATTAAATATGTAATTTAAATCTAATACTCAAATTTAAATTAGGAAGTGAGATTTGATAACAGATAGTTAAAAAAGAAAAAATTAAAGGTTGGAAGGAAGAGAGTAATAGAAAAATATATATGATGAAATTTTTTTCTTTTTTTTCTGAAAAGGAATTTTTTAAAATTTTTAATTATACTCCCAGTTTAAATAACAGCTCTCAAAAGAATGCATATTGGATAATATTATTTGCCATAGAGCCAGTAATATTGTACTCAAATGGCCCCAGCCCCTGGTTGATTTGCAGGGTCATCTTTGAAGCAGAAACAAGAAGAATTTTAATAAAGGAAAAATTTGTTTAATTAAATAACTCTTTCGCATCTTTTGGAAAAAAGGGCCATTAATTTACAATTTTACATTACAGGTATAAAAGAAGGAACGCAGTATGTGCGAAACGACAGTTCATAATGGAAACGACAGAATTGCACACCTCTTTTCTTTTTGACAAAACCTTTCACGCTTTTAAACCTAAATTCAGACTTTCAGCAGTCGCAAATTAATTTCTATTAATAATAAAATTGAACATAAAAGAAAAAAGAAAAAGAACACACTTAGACTGGAGGCTGAGGGATGGGTGGGGTTGGGTGAGATTGAGTGAATTTGAAGATGCATGCATATCCACATATCTGCTTCATATTCGGTGCACAGCCCATCGCTTTATGAAGAGATCTGTGCAATCTAAATCTCATTTTAATATATTAAATTTATTTTTTTTAAAAAAAAAGTAACGGTCACAAAAAAAATATTTTTAAAATAAAAAATTTAAAATTTAAAATATAAAAATTGAATTGAATTGAATCTTTCATCCAAACGTCCATATACATATGAGTTAGGTTGTCACTATTTTTAATGATAACAATAATAATGAGACAAGTGGTGTGTAAAAGATGAATTGTCTCAAATTCTCTCACCTAATGAGTATCCCACGTGATACTGTAAATAGAGATTGTTAATGGTTGCTGGAGATGTTACTATTGAAAGTGGCATCAAATGGTTGAAATGTATCCTCATAAGTATTCTTTTAACTCATCACTTCATTTTATTTTAAATTAAACATGAATTTTTAAGTAATAATAAAGTTGTACAATTACAATGTAAACACTCATAGTGACTCATAGAATTCAAATCAGCGTGAGAGAGGTGGGGTGTCTCATTGAGAGAGAGAGGTTGAGAAGGTTTGGTTAGGAGTGGAAGAGCAGAGGCAAGCAAAGGAAAGCAAGTGATTCTGATTGCTCCGGCCATCCCTTTCGGTCCTTCCACTCTATTTCTTGTGTGGATCTTCTTCTCCCATCGACCTTATCATTTCATGTCCTCGCCCTCACTAAAACATATTCCTCTGTTATTTTTTATAATTTATTTCAACCAATTTCATTAATATTAATAAAAAAAATATCAGAATAAAGTGTATAAAATTTTAAATATGTCTTAATATAACAAATTCAAAACGTAGTGTTGTATTATTTTATTTTTTCTCTTTCATAAAAATATTTTTAAAAATATTTTTTAAATATTATTTAAAAAATTATCCTATGAATTACAAATAGGACTAAATAAACCTTTTAAATTATGACTTATAAATGAGATTGAAGAAAATATATTTATCATTGTTATCATCAAGGTCTTGGGTTGGTCAGTGAACCCACCAACATGGTGAGTTGAGTAATAATGGTTTAACTAAGAGTTATGGAGTTAGATTGATATTAATTAAAATAATTTAATTTAATTTATATACATAAAAATATTCATCTTTGAATAAAAAATCATTAGTTTTGTTCAAATAACTCAATGAAAATTCAAGAAAGAGAGAAAAATCTTATACGTGTCAACACAATCCCAACAAAAATTCAACAAACTTAATAAAATTTCGATAAAAAGTTAACAATTTTGCTCAAATAACCTAACAAAAAATTTAATACAAAAAAAAAGTCTCTATAACATAACCTATCTCTACTATCAACAAAGCTTATTCCTCATGCAATCCAGAAAAAAAAAAAACAAAGAAATAATTGGTCTCTATAACAACTGATATTTAAAGATTATTCTGCAATTTACCTTTCACAAATCTATTGTACACTCTTATCACAATTGTTAACTTTATCAAATATATTATTAAAATAAATGCATTACAGTGGACCAATTTGACCTGTTGGGATACAATTGAGTTGTTTGGGTTAGTTTAGATTAACACTATTTTAGATTAGGTTATAAGCTAGACCGGCTAACTAACCAACTTATAAGGTTATCGGTTGAATTAGTCAATTTAAATTGATTTTTCATTCATTGTTGTTCTTGTCTAGCACCAATTGATTTCTAGAAACCACAATAAACCTCACTAATCTAAATCAAGTGTGGTTAGATCATATTGATGCAAGAAGTGCGGTTAGATCATATTGATGCAAGACTTTCAACAAGAATTTTTTTTTCCCCGTCCCACTCGAATTGGAGATGTTGCTAGAATAACACGTGCATGTGGACGAGTGAAAGAAACTTGATAGCATGAAAGCAAGATTTAATAATACTAATGATATTATACATACATACATACATACATACATATATATATATATATATAGATTCATGTTCCCCCATTCTTTATTTTGTCATCTTATCATAGATAATCATTTTTGAAATACAATCAAGTCCTAAATATAAACACCTTATTCATCAACAATTTAAATCTTAATTTGACGTGTTATAAGAAATTAATTCTTTTTACTAATTAAATTCAATTTCTATTGGTGATGTTTTTCCTTTTCACCTTTACCTTCTTCAATAAATCATGTTAAGAAGATGCTGTCACCCTTTCTTATCATCCGAAATTTAATAATTTTCTTGGCGTTGGATTTAATAGCCACAACCACTTATGGGCCATATTAAATTGTTAACACGACCCTACTTTCAGCCAAAATATCTTCATTTTTTTGGGCAAAGAAATATGAAAATAATTTCACTTTTAAAAAGACAATAAATATATTATATCAATACTATTGGGTCTGGTTCTGGAAATTAAATTGGGTAGTGCGTCGGTCCAAAAAAAGAAAATACAATTTGTCATAAGAAAGATAGATATGGAACGCACCAAGTGGGACTTCCTTAGATTTTTGTACTCAATACTTCTGTTTATTTACTCTTTCTCTTTTATTTTTTTCTTTTTTAAAAAACTGTACATTCCATAGATTGATTTTATTAGCTTATTCTACCGAGTGATTTTTACGCAGAAACCAACTCTGAATTTTTTTATTATATAAAAAGCATTAAAAAATATACACTGTTCATGTGCTCACTCATATCAAGTTTTATGCAAATGTTTATGGCTCATTTTTGCTATGCCTAGATGAAGTGACAAGAAATTATTCTTCCTCTTTTCATTAAATACAATTTTTACGTACATTTTATAATGTTTTAAGAATAAAGTAATGGAGATGTATATTTATGGTTCATGAAAGTATATCTTGTTAAAAGTTTTATATTATATACAAACGGTATTGCTTCTTTCAAAGAAAAAAGAAAAAAAAGAAGCAAAACTCACAAGATTTCTTCTTTTATTATTATTTTTTTAAATTATGCCACTTAAACATCCCTAAGAGAGAAGAAAGACAGCGATAGAATTATTCTTTCTTTCACAAAAACATGGCAGCTGAATTTTAATATTTTATAGTTCACCATTATTTAATTCATTAATTTTGTAATCTTGATGAGATTTATAGTAGTTAATGAAGGATATTAAATATTGAGGCTAGTACCTCAGGATTTGTTCTTTTTAACACTCAAATTAAGTTAGCGTGGGATGTATCTTGGAGTTGCCAAAAAAAATTAATATCAGAAAAATTTCTAATATTAAATGCTTGTGAAAATAATTGTAATTGCCAACAAACAAAATTGCTCTTCATTGTGATGCCTTTTAAGAGATGAAAAATATTTCGGCCAAAAAAAATAGAGATGAAAAGTATACAATAAAAACGACGCCGTAGGGATGATGACTGCGCCCCCACAAGCTACAACGGCTAGTTTCAGTTTCAGCCTCAAGTGACCGTTTGGAGCTGGAAAACAAAAGAAGACCACACATTCATATATTCACATTCAGACATCCATAATTCTCGTGAATTTCTCACATTCTTATTGCTATTACATTCAATCTGTCCCCTGCGATCTCCAAGTTTGGATTTTGAAGCATGGTTTACTCATACACACCCACTTACTACTCAACCCTCCACGATTCAATCACCTCTTTGTGCAAAAACCTTCTTCCTTTCGGCTTCAAGAGGCGGCGTTTGCCGGCCTCCTCCTCCGATTGCCGTCTGTCGAGGCTGCAATCCGATAATCTTAAATGGCAGCAAGACTCTTTCCACCAGATGTTGAATCTCATGGGTCTTCACAGAGAAGGCATCCTAGCTCAAAGTGAGGTGTCTGCATTTTCAAATCATTTGCTTGAGACACTTATTGCTTCTCATCCTGATCAAGACCATCCCCTTATACTCAGAGATAAGCTGCTTTTCTTACAGGTAAATCATAAATGTCTCTGTTACAAGCTGAAACTGTAATAATCTCCGCTCACTTTAGATCATATACTGTAAGGATTTGGAAGTGTTTCACTTGGTTGGTGTTTGGATGCAGGAACTGCTTTATGCTAAATGCATATCGGAAGAAGATTATTACGCTTCAAAGAGGCCATTGACAGAGAGACTATCAGTTCAAGGAGCTGAAATAGAAGGAAGTGATGTAATCTCTGGAGGGTCAAGAGATCCAAAAGAGAAATGTTCAGAGCAAGAATGGTCGGTCATTGACTTGAAGGATGAACAATGCTTGATGAACAAGGAGAATTGTAATTCCAAGAACAGGTCAAAGATGAAAGGAGCTGCCTCTGTTTTTAGCTTTGGCTCTTCTCACAAACCCAGAAAGAACAAGACAGAAAAGAGCATATTTGATTCACCATCTTTGCATTTGAATTCAGCCCCACCAAAATTCTCTTGCTCTGTCTTCAAAAATGAATTTGGGTATTCCAAGGAGAACCCCTTCTGGATTGGCGAGTCGAAGAGCCCTAAAAGTGGAGACAAGTCGAAGAGGAAGCCGTTTAGGATTCTGTTTCGGCGGGAGCATAGGGAGGGTCATAGTGCTGAGGAAACACAGGAAAGAACAGACAGATCAACTAAAAAGCAAGGGTTTAGGAAATGGAAGAATAATGATTCTGACGATGAGACAGCTCCATTGCCTCTGAATGAGAGATCCGACAGTGATACCTATTTAGCCTCTTCACAGCTTCTTGTTACAAGATTGCCGGGGGAAGACCTTGACGCCAAGATTATCAACAAGACTCTGCATTCTGATATTTTCATTGATAAGGTTTGGAATCTTTTATCTGGTTGGATTTTTAATCCGTGAGTGAACGAACAATTGACGGCAAAATAATTTCATCAAATTTCCCTTTTATTTTCAGTACAGTCTTATAATTAAAAAACTTCGAACTAGATTTCTGTTCAAAAGATTTCAATTCAATCTTGTCCCCTGTCAACTTCTGTTACTAGATACTCTGAATATAATGAGTCAGACTCAAAGTACTTGAGTATCTTTAGCATGAATCATACATATTTATAATTTAACCAAATTGATCTCTATTAGGACATTTAAACCAATTCATGTGCATGATAAATAGGTTTCTGGAGACAACATCAAGAAGGAGCTGTCAATAATCCAAACAGAACACAGCGCCACAAACCCACATCAGAAATTCTCGTATGTACCCTCTCTTATATGTTACTTGTCTGTTATATTTGCTTAACGGTTGAACAGGATATTCTTCGATTTTTAACAACACAATATGTGGTCACAGTAATTTTACAAGGTGTGACGGGTGTGGAGATGGTGTGTTGCAATCCAAAAACACAGAAAATATGTACAACAACAATACAACAGCAAAACACAATTATTCATTGCAATGGACAACGTTTGAAGATGATGAAAACCTCCACCCAAATCTTTTTGTTCATCAGGATAATTCATTTCACAGAAGCAGCATCAACCCATTTTCTCAGTGAAAGGGAAGAGACGAGAGTTCAGGGAAAACGAAGGCATGTATTTGATACATGACCAAGGCATTCAAGACAAGCAAAGTTCTTTAGAAATGAAGGCTTTTGTAATTACTTTGATATATGTATCTGATAATATGTTGAGATGCAATAGCGCATCATCTGGTAAAACTAAATTGAATTGGGGTTGTGCCAAACACGTATAAATGTACATGGCCTTTATTTTGGAAACATTTTTTTTTTCCTTTTTATTGTAACCTATTACTGTTTGGCCAAATTGCACTATTATCCCCGGGTGATGGAAGACCACCCTTTTCTTTTTACCGTAAGCCTCCATAGCCACCTGAAATCAAGACCACCGAATGCACATTTCAGCCAACGATCAAATCACACGAAAGCTGGACCACTCATGACAGTAAATAAATGGCCATTGAAGCAGGATTGAGCAAGATCTCACCCTGTAACGTGAACTTACTCTTACAACAGTTTAATACATGCCATTGACGTGAGCTAAATGATGTTTATATTTACATTGACGTATGTACTCATTGAGATGGTACTTCTGCGTCAGAGGCAGAAGACTCGTTGGACCCTCCACAAACATTTCCACGACAAAGAGGGCATACACTGTAAAATAAGGGGAAGCAAAAAAAAAAAAAAAAAAGCATTACTTATATATTGGAAATAAGGGAGTAATGAAAAAGAATGAAGGGGAAAAATAATTTCTTAAGAGTTTATTATAGATATTTTTGGAGTCTTTTATAAATTAGTTTTATGATTTCATAATTTAAAAGTAAAACCATTGAGAGTTTTATCCTTAAAAAGGTGGGATTTGCTTACAACAATACATTTGATGGACCTTGAAATTATCATTTTAACAACTAAATTTAGGATGAGAAAATCATGAATCCAATAGTGAAAAGCTCTCCCACTAAGAAGGTAGAGCTCATAGAGCTCATAGCATTATCCTCTCTCGTAAAGATTTAAAAAAAAAAGATTTTTTTTAAAATTATCATTTTAAAAATAATTTCTTAAGAGTTATTGCTAGATTAATGCAATTGTTAATTTTAGATAGTTTTTGCGTCTTTTATAAATTAGTTTTATGATTTCATAATTTAAAAGTAAAGCTACTGAGAGTTTTACCCTTAAAAAGGTGGGATTTGCTTACAACAATACATTTGATGGACCTTGAAATTATCATTTTAACAATTAAATTTAGGATGAGAAATTCATGAATCCAATAGTGAAAAGCTCTCCTACTAAGAAGGTAGAACTCATAGCATTATCCTCTTCTGTAAAAAGTCTATCAATTTTTTTTTTTAAAAAAAAAGGTTGAAAGGACAATACCCATGTATTTCTTTAAGCCACTTGTCAACACATGACATGTGGTACTCATGATTGCATGGAAGAACACGAATTTTGTCTCCTTCCTCATACTCAGCCAAGCATATGTAACATCTGGCAAACAGGTTATGGAGGAAAAAATAGTTAATCACCAAACATAATCTGGAGGAAAAACGAAAACAAAAGAAAATGATCATATCGTAAGAACTTGAGCCATGACAGGCAATTTAGACAAACAAGAACACTTATCCCCTGTGGTACTGCTTGACCTCATTCATGTTCACATATATTTTCTCAAGACTAACGGAACAAAGGAGGCTTACTGTTCAACATCATTGCCATTATCAGCTGTGTCAATCTTTTTGTGACACTTAAGAGGGAAAGATTCTACGATTGATTCAGGTGCTGGGAGAGAGACCATGGAGAGGGCAAGTGATACAGGTTGGCGATGAATTTCATCCAAAACCTACAGAGGATAATTGGTTTTAGTCCACGTCAGACTTTTACAGTCCATTAGCAATTTTGGGTCAAATGAGATTAATCAGGCATGGTCAATTAACAAAATATCATAGTATTACATCACAATAACAAACCAGTGGCTTTATGAGCCTCGATAAAATTTCTTATGTGAAAGCATGAGATTACATGAGACTAAAAATCTAGTTTCCAGTACATAAGATCCTACAAATGACATGAAGTCTTATCACTCCTAAACAATTGCAGACCTAGCATTAAAAAAGTTTTCAAATATATGTTAATTTTAATAAACCAAGAAGTGAATATGCCCAGTTCAGAAAAATATATCCCTGCCTCCCTATCATAGTGAAAAATGTTAAAAAATATATGTTTCAAGAAGCTGAACATAACATAAATAAGGGCCTGCAAAATACAACAATTAGATAAACTAAACTATCAGGAGGCATGACTGTCTAGAGATACAATTGAATTTTATGAAACCATAACAGAGAAAATATTTGAGGATCCTATTTAAAATGTGCTTACCCAGGAATCACATGCTACACTGTCAATAGTATCTTAATCAGTATAAAGAATTGATCTTACAAATTATATTAAAGCTTAAGCGTGGAAAATATAAAGCATAAAAACCAAAATTTAAGAGTCCAACTTCTGTGCAAGAAAAGCATGGATAAGGAGTGGAAAGCTAAAATGAAGGAAAATTATATATTAACAAAAAGCACAGTAGATGAAAGAAGGATAGACCTCAAATAGAGCTTCAGCAAGCATGGCTATTCTAGATATACTTGCACGAGTGCTGGATTCCTCAGCCATCTGTAGAGACTCACATGAGCACATGCCATCAGGGTGGAGTCCTATCGGACAAGAAGGATTCAACCGGCCAATCTCATCAAGGCCACCATGAAGTCTTTCCCAGATCTAAGAAAGAATTAAAAAACACAAATGAAGATATCAAAAGCAAGCAGGAGGAATAAGAATTTAAGGAATTCTATAATCAAAATATTGATAATCACCACAGATCTTGAGTGCCGCATTCGTTCGTTCAACCTGTGAATTCTACTGCCCAAATATCCAGAATCATCCGCAACCCTATCACCTGAGGAATTATTACTCAAATCAAGAAGCCATTGATCTTGAGAACTTGGATCATCAACATCACCAGCTGAGAAGACAATGGTTCGAGAATCACCAAATCTTCTGGAACTACGTCTTGAAAAAGCATCCCAAAATAGTCTTCTACTATCCCTTCTGGCATCATGATCACTAACATCAGCATTGCCACCAGATAAAATGTTGGAAGATATTGCGACAACATCAACATGAAACATACTGTCATTTCCCTGTCCTCTTTCCCTATTGGAAACAAGAAAACCCAAACCTGAAGGTATTGTCTCCTGATGGGTTTCATTTTGAGGCAACTCAGAAGTCACAGGTAAATTGGAAACTTGAGCAAGATGATCCAATTCAGGACTGCGGATAGGTGCAACTGAACGAGGGTGATTCTCAATAGAAATATTATCAGCACTGGAATCTCCTTGCTCTTGAGAGGTTGAGCTCCTTGGATACATTGTCTCACGAGATATTTGAGAAACACCACTAGCCACTGAACCATCAATATTATCGACTGCATCTTTGTTAGCAGAAACATTTACAGAGCCTGGATCTGAAGAGTGCTGTTCTACAAATGTACTAGCTGTGTTGCTAATATCCCTATAAGATTCATCATGACTATGATCAGCACTTACCTGATGAGGAGGAACTAGCTCCTTACTTTCAGACAAGCACTTTGTCTGAAAACTAGTTGAAGCACTTCTGGAGGAACCTTCAACATTTGCAATCTCAATCAACTCAGTTCTGACATCAGATGAGCTTGCGGTTTCAGCATGGGAGCTGCAACCAATTCTAGCTTCTGTACATGATATAGATGAATCCTCAACAACTTTCTGATTTTCATCGCTAAATTCTGTTGCAGAATCTCTCTGCAGTTCATTTGGTTGACCTTCCACCTAAAAAAACAATATAAGCATGCCATGCGTGTTATTAGTCACTCTCTTTAAGCATCTCTAGAGGCCATTGTCGAATTTTTCAAGTATAACACCAAAAAAATATAAGGTTCACGCCTAAATTTTAGTCCATAACCTAAATTTTTGTCATGCTGGAAAGAATGACTGGAACTCTGGACACGTCCCAACATTGATGCATAACAAGATCATGACCAGCCTGCCCTAGGAAGGTCCCTTAAATCTATGGAACAGGTTAAGGGAATACCACAGCTTCTATATACGCGGAGCAAAAGCTGGATTCATAACCTGTAAGCAGCATACTAAATTTTAATTCTTTAGAATACTACATGATGTATCTGACCAGAGATCATTTCCACCCAGAAATTGGAGAGTACAAACCGAAATATACTCTATCGAAACACAACAGAATGTCATTGAGAAACTCTACCGGCTCTCTTTATCTTGACAAAGTATGAATATTATATTATCAGCAGAACGATTATACCCGTTAAGCCAACCAACGGGCAAATTAACAGATTCTTGCTACTCCATTGTGGTATCTAACAAACATGATATGGAATACAATCAAGACGCTACGAACAGATTCATGCACGGAAGATGTTACACGATCATTCCTTTTCTTCAAAAAAAAAAAAAACGAAAATCTCTTCCACCAATAAGTATTTGGGAAAGGGAGATACAATCACAAAGTTGCATCATATAATCGATTCGCCATTTGCATAACAAACAGAACTTGCATATCAATCTTCTTTTCACACATCCAAAAAAATCCACTACATTCAAAAGCCAAATAAGTTTCCCCTTTCAGATGATTGGGAAAAAATGGATCAGACTGCTCAATCCCAAATCTGCCCAGGCTCGTGCATATCCAATTGAAAATGAAAATCATCATTATTAAAGGCAGAAACGAAATAGGTTTTACAAGAAAGCTATGGCAAGGATTGGTACAGCAATGAAATACCTCGTAAGTGGAACGGGAGGCGGAGCCACCGCAGAGGAGGGAGGAGAATCTGAAGCGGTTAGTGCCATTGACTCGGGGGGTGAAAGGGCCAGACCGAGGTCTACTATTGGTCGACCCCATTGTAGGAAGAAAGAAGGAAAGAATGAATGAATGAATGAATGAAAGAGAAAGGAGAAGCAAGCAGGAAGGTGCCAGGAGACAGAGGAGGTGGAAAGGAGAGGCCCAGAGAAGTTGATTCTCGTGATGATGAAGAAGGGAGAAGAGGATGACAATGACGATGATGATGATGGAAGCTGACTTGCGACGAGCCTTCCTTCACTTACAATTATTTCCCCTACTTTCTTACAACTGGGGCAAGAAACATGACACTAAACCATTCTGTGTCTTTCACATTAAATCTAATTTGCATTTTTCTTTAGCAAAAAAAAAAAACCCCTTAAAAATTCAAAATTCATAATATTTGAATATTACAATTCGTATCAAAATATAATCAATCAGGTTATCTATAATCATGGAGATAATTTACATGTTTCTTAGAGACACTGTTCATGATTACAAATAGGTTGACATGGATATAAATTACAACTGTTTGGACTTTTAAAAAGTATAAATATAATTTTAGAAATAATTAATAATAATTTAATGGAATATAATGTGATATATAAATGTTTAAATTCTTGTTTAAAAAATGTCTATGTTTAATATTTGATCATAATTGGACTAAAAGGCAATGATAAAAAGAAAAGATTATTAATTTGTTGAGACTCTCAGTCAGCAAATATCTTTTGCTTGAACGTGAAAATGCAAGGATCCTTTCAACTAAAGTACTGCAATATATTATTTGTTTTAAGGTAATAGTTACTATCAGATCAGCTTGAAAAATTTGTCAGTTTGATTTGCAATATATGACTTTTCTTTCTTAATCTTTTAGTAGCAACGTACTTGCTAAGCAATGTACATCTAACAATTTAAAAAATATTTACTTTTTTTATTAAAAAATATAAAATATTTTTAATCAAATTTTACTTTTAATAAAGTAGTTACCTACTTTTAAACTAACTATATTTTTTTATAATTACTTCTATTAAACACCATATAAAAAATATAAATTCATTTATCAATAAGGGTACTTTAAAAAAAAATAATAATTACACATCAAAAAATTAAAAATGTCTTATATTTTTTAAATTTAATTCTTAAAAAAATACTTTATATTTTTAAACAGACAGAGTACATGACATTTCTTGTGGCATCCATTTTGATCCTCACTGCTTACCAGATCTTTAACATTGTAAAAGATAATTTATATACGCAGAACTCTGTCAAGAGAAGGTTAACAAAAATCATAGTATAATAATTTATAGAAAATAAATTTTCAACGAAATGAGATACTAAGGAGTACATTCTATCAAGTATCAATCATTTGTGACATTGGAGAGACTTCATCTAATTCCTTTCACAGAGTCGGCATCTTTTGTAATATTTGAAAATACTCGTACAAAGCAAAAAGACGAGGGAAAAAACAACGAATTTTTTTCAGGTTAAAACAAGAAAATTAAATAGATGAAGAAACTGACATTTTTGTTTGTACTGCATTCAATGCTTAATTTCAAGTGTTCATGGAATACACACACACAACGATAAATGCATATGACATGTTTACAATTATTGTTTAAGCTGAAATTGACGCACTGGATTAAAAGCAAATCTACCAAAGCTCAATGTGGAAGACACCACAGAGCAGTCTCATAAAACAAGACCGTGTATGAATTTAAATGCAGCCCCGCATTTCGATGGGGGAATGACCAGGACTGTTCAAGTGGCCCAATGGTTCAATATGCCCGGCCTTACTGGAGCCATTCGAGCTCATCCTGCCAGGCACATGTTTTTTCTTTTTCTTTTTTTTTTGTGAATAATATTTATTTGATAATATTATTTTTAGTTTTTGTTTTTGAGAGGGAGAAAATCACCCAAATATACTTACTCAACCACCCATACTTACACTCCTTTCCCGTGGAAAAGAAACTGACACACCACAAATTGCCCATTCTAAGCTCGAACCCACACCATGCATATTACAGGGGGTATTGGTGCCATTGTGTAACAAGGTCATTGGATATTATTTTTAGTTGAGTATTATCATAAACTATATTATTTTTATATTTTTTTAGACATTTCTTTTTATTACAATTTTTATCTCTTTTAAAATTTAAAATTTGTTTTTGAATTAAATATTATATAAAAATAATTGATAATGGTTGATCATATGTAACTAAGAAAAAAGTTACTTCTGATCATAATATTAGTTTTATAAGGAATATATTTTAAATGACAATAATTATATATTTTTTACATTTTTCTAAAAATATTTATATAGATTATATATGCTACAAGCCAAAATTGGCTTGAACTTCACATCGGACAAGGCATGAGCTAAAACTAACCTTGCTTATGTGCAACTTTAATGATGACCAACTCTTAAGGCCACTTTTCTCACTACTTAAGGAATTTGATGCACTCACTTCGCCACTTCCCTCAATGAAAGGCACCTGCAATTTTTAAATTGGCATAAACAGTTATTGTTCCTTTTGTTGATGAAATTCAAACTTGAAGGAGTATGTTGTTACTTGTCTCTATAAAATATAACAAGTGCACAATTGAAAATTAAATACCAAAATAAGAGCTTGAAAGAGTAGTCTAATAGATTTGGCTTGTATTCCCAAGTACTCCATCTAATTGTTTTGCCCAATAAATTAGTAAGTTATAAGTGTTGGAATTGGGGGTGTAGCAGAAGAATAAAAATTTTAAAATTCTCAATTACATTCGTGGATTGAATGATGTTGTTTAAGTTATAATAGATAGAACTTTACCTTTACAATTACAACTTTAAGGATCTTTTTATTTGGATCTAAGAAATTTAATCTCCATAATTAGTTTCTTTTACCAGTATCCACATGAATATCTTTCCTATTATAACAATGCCCATTTGTCCGTCATCGAGCCTTTTTCTCTTAAGTTGAGGGTGGCTCTCTACCTAGCCTCTATCTTATATGAAAGTTGGTTATTTAATTTTTGAAGAGATATTTGAATTTAATAAAGATTGATTTTGAAGATTTGATTTCGTCATCAATCCTTATCTTGAAATTAGATTTAATAGGCTAGTTTAAATTTAGATCCATCCAATAGATTAAATTAAACTATTCTATTTAATCTATTTAAGAGCCAAAAAAAATTAATTTATTTCCATAAATTAAATTTAAGACTTTATCTCATAAATTCAAATTTCAAAACTAGTGTGATATCTTTCTATATTATATTAGTTAATAAATTTAATACTAATATAATATTATAATACACACATATCATATATACACATTATATTATATAATATTAAATTTGAAGTTTATATTATATATATGTATATAAATATGTATTACATAAATACATACACACACGCACATATAAAATTTATTCACCCTAAACTAAAATGTTGTGTTCATTGAATCTAGACGTTATAGCTTAAGTTTGATCGTTATTGTGTGTGACCTTATAGACCCATATAAAGTTGGCAATGAGCCAATAACATCATTAGTCTATAAGTTATAAGCAACCTCTCGCAAGACGTTGCAGCTACCCAAATTATATAGAAATCGGTAATTCGATACAACCCGCAATACAACCATATCACATCTATTTTGTCCCGAGATATTTTGGTCAAGCATGAGGTATGAAAATGTCATCCTCCTTTATGTGACCATTATTATCTCAATCATCAAGTAGACTAACTGTAAAAATGGAAACCTTTTTTCATTATAGCATGGCCATGCATTTTTTAGTCTCACCCATCGAAGGGCCTAATAACATCTCTTAACTAATATGAAGGATAAGTTTCATCTTGACCATTCACATACCTTTTCATGAAATTCACAAAACTCGATCGTAGCCTTTATGACCACTTAGTCAAATGTGACTTTTGATTAAGTCAAAGCTTAGTGATCCCCATATAGGAATTCATAATGAGCTTAGGTCGAAAGGCTTGATGACATGGTTATATATAAGATAAGCTTATAACTTATTCATGCAGCTTTCTCATAACAAATCGGTCCAATATCTTGTACTCTTACAAGTGTCTGTGATTTTGATTCATATTTCCATACATTAATCAAAATCATATTAGTTTTATTTCATCTTTGTTCCCACAAAGATGATTGACGATGGACACTTAAGACAATCGTTATGATTTATCCTATTATATAATTATCATAATGAATATACAAATGATAATAAGGATAAATTCATTATAAATCACAATGTTCGTAATAAAATGATTGGCTTGAGGTACAATTTAGAACAATAAGTAGAATATAGCTTAAGAAATTAATCAACACATAAGAAGGACAAAATAAATTAAGTATATTTTGAAGTAGCTTGTGATGATTATATTTTGACTTCCTGTTTTTGGGGTAATGAAAACTACCAATGGGAGATAAATCTAGTAAAAGAAACTAGTTCCTTACAACATGATAAATTAATATTCAAATTTTTATTATAAAAAGTATCCATATTTAGTGCTTAACTGTACATTGAATAAGATTACATTTAATAAAAAAATACCTATGAATAAAAAAAAAGTGGCAAAAACTAATTTTGTGAATGATCCAACTATATTGAAACAAATGACATGTCTGTGTAAATGAGAAAGTGAGAAACTAAAAAGATGAGCTATTCCTGCCCAAAAAAAGATGAGCTATTGATTTAACTAGTTAAAAGAATTGAATTAGCTTATCTTAGAATCTCAAATTCGAGTCATAGAAGAGGTAATCACATTAGGTAAATACATTGAGGATATTTTTGAATTATCTGTGAGATTGTTAATACTAATAAGAATGGTCTCACACAGGGGGATTCAGGTTAATTTAGACAATAAGTGGTAATATTTTAAGTTTCTTTGAGTATTTACGTGATGAAATAAAAAATGGTGATAAATTGACATGCGCCTAGCGTAATTTAACAGGCAGCGCAAATTAATGCGAAAGAGAAACTTATAAAAACGAACTATTCAAGGAACGAGAAAGCATTAAGCAATAATAGCGAAACCTGACCGAGACATATCCACCAAATATCTAGTGCCTACAATAATAATATCTCACTTTGTCGGTCTATATCTATAAGAATCTCTGGTTCACTAACCATAGGGTTGGGAAATTTCTTTTTTAAACAAGTGCAAAAAAAAAGAGAGAGGCGAGAATTAGATGTAACAATTGTGGTTTTGACACAGACACACACACACGCACACGAAAACGTGGAAGGTTTTTCTCTCAGCAACCGACATTA